CAGTTGAAAGCCAGACCCAGCGGAACTCTAAAGCTAAGCAGGGGAGGGCTTGGTTAGTACTGTGATGGGAGACACAGTGTGGCGGCTGTGGCTGTGAGGTGAAAAACTGTTGTATGTCCTTAGGCAAGACACTTCAACCGAATAAGAATGAGTCCGGTGCTGGTGGGAGGGGCCCAGAGTGGTCGCCTCAATTCTGTCAGTGTGCCCCAGGGCAGCTGTGGCTACGATAGCAGTTTATCACCGAAGAGTTTGGAGTGAAATAATTATGAAAACAAAGCATCCTGAAAATTGCTTTATAAACCAATTCAATATCATTATTATTATTATTATTATTATTATTATTATTATTATTATTATTACATTATTAGCTGTCGTCTCGCAGGTTTTTACAAAGTTGTGGATTCGCCAGCAGCAGATCAGAGAATCAAACCGTTCGTACACACGGTAAATGCGACAATATGAAAGAGACAGAAACAAAGCATACAGATAAAACACAGTCTGTTTTTCTCCTCATGCGGCACTTGTTTGAAGCAATTGCGAAGGGAATTTTTTTAATTTAAACTGACAAATGTTTACGGTTTCATTACACAAAGTCATTGGTCATTAATTCAGTCCTCTGCAGCGACATCACATACGAGAAGAATCCAATTATCCGACGCAGCGTCCCACGACAACGTTCATTTAGCTGGTTATACGTTTATGTTTGTGTTGAGTTATGAGCAGCAGGACGACCCCCGACAAACCCTTCATGACCACCACTGGAGTCGTGTTGTTTAGACCAGAGTCACCGACCTTTTCCCCCAGAGACACGGCAGGAAGACAAGGTACGGGATTTTTTATAGATTTGATTTGATTCAACATTATTGTCATTACAAAGTAGAACAATGCAACAAAATGCAATGATTAGTCCCGACTCTGGTCCCAGCAGTCCCTGTGCTCCTCAGAGTCCCAGCAGGAGGCCAGTCCCTGTGCTCCTCAGAGTCCCAGCAGGAGTCCAGTCCCTGTGCTCCTCAGAGTCCCAGCAGGAGGCCAGTCCCTGTGCTCCTCAGAGTCCCAGCAGGAGGCCAGTCCCTGTGATCTTCAGAGTCCCAGCAGGAGGCCAGTCCCTGTGCTCCTCAGAGTCCCAACAGGAGTCCAGTCCCTGTGCTCCTCAGAGTCCCAGTAGGAGGCCAGTCCCTGTGCTCCTTAGAGTCCCAGTTGGTTCGTAAATTGGGTCAAGTTCACCCTGTTCTTAAGAGAAAAAGATGCTACACTGTCCAAGAGGTGAAACCATAAACCAGTGGTGGGTAAAACCTCGGCCCGTGGGCCACATGCGGCCGTTTGGACGTGTGCATCAGGCCCTGAGCTCTCCTCAGATTATACAGATATAGAGAGAGACCAGTGAGAGACCAGAGAGACCAGAGGGACCAGAGAGAGACCAGAGAGAGAGACCAGAGAGAGACCAGAGAAAAACCGGAAAGAGACCAGAGAGAGACCAGCAAGAGACCAGAGAGAGACCAGGAAGAGAGAGATCATAGAGAGAGAGAGACCAAAGAGAGAGAGAAGAGAGAAAGACCGGAAAGAGACCGGAAAGAGACCAGACAGAGACCGGAGAGAGACCGGAAAGAGACCAGAGGGAGAGAGATCAGAGAGAGACCAGGGAGAGAGAGACCAGAGCGAGACCAGAGAGAGACCAGAAAGAGACTGGAGAGAGTCTGGAGAGAGACCAGAGAGAGACCGTAAAGAAACCAGAGAGAGACCAGAGAGAGACCGGAAAGAGACCAGAGAGAGACCAGAGAGACTAGAGAGACCAGAGAGAGACCGGAATGAAACCAGGGAGAGAAATGGACCAGAAAGAGACCAGAGAGAGAGACCCCAACAGCAGACCTCACTGGGCTGATACATACTGAGGCCCATGTCTGCTCTGGACTGTATGTTAGACTATAGTGTTATACCAAGGCCTATATATGATCTTTTGAATCTCTTAAACCGTGACCAAATGTATGTTTTATTGCTTTGCAGGTCATAAATAATATTCCTCGACATTAAACCACAGCCTCTTTTGGTCCCAGTGCGTCAGAAATGATTGAAAGGGATCAGACCACAACATCCAATTTCACAAACAGGAAGTGACCTCAGACCTTCCATATTCCAGACAGTTCCATCTTCTCTGTGTATGTGTGTGTGTGTGTGTGTGTGTGTGTGTGTGTGTGTGTGTGTGTATGTGTGTGTGTGTGTGCGTTTGTGGCGCTCTCAGGGTTCCATTACTACCATTAGATCACACTTCGATGTGAGGAGAAAGAGAGAAATGTGGGAGATGGGTTGAAAATATATAAAAATGACGTTTAGAGCTGCAGCATTCTGAGGTCTTTATCGTTTATTTTTATTTTTCGACTCCTCGCAGCAGCGGCAGTGGAACGCTCCGTTGATTTGAATGTCATTTCCAAACGTTCTGTTGGTGATTACTTCTTGATAACGGACCTCTCAAACCGATGATGACCGCTGCCCATGGCAACGCAATTCAGGAGTCCGACTTACAACTCACCCAGAGACACACACCGTTCCTGACCTTCAGCGAGAACGTCCAGGTTACTATAAATAAGTCGCTAGCCCTGGTCCCTCTGGTCTCTCTCTTTCTCTGGCCTCTTTATGCTGGTCCTCTCCTGTCTTTCTCTGGACTCTCTTTCCCTCTGTGGTCTCTCTCTCTCTCTCGTCTCTCTGTCTTTCTCCATTTTGCCAGGCCTCACCTGTCGTTCTCTTTCTTTGGTGTCTTTGGTCTTTCTCTCTGGTCTATCTCTCTGACTATGTCTCTCTCTCCCTAGTCTCCCTCGCCGGTCTCTCCCTTATCTCTCTCTCTCACTGGTGTCTCTGGTCTCTCTCCAGTCCCTCTCAAGTCTCTCTCCAGTCTCTCTCTCTACCTGGTCTCTCTCTGGTCTCGCTAGTCTCTCTCTCTACCTGGTCTCTCTCTGGTCTCGCTAGTCGCTCTCTCTCCCTGGTCCCTTTACTGCTGCCTGTGAGTGCGTCCTCTCTGTTGTGTTGTTGTGTGGTGCTTAGTGTCACATTAGAATGACAAGTGTGTGTTTCTCTGGTGGGAGGAGACTTAATCAAGAGACTGGAGGAACACACCAGCATCGTGTTTCGCTGGTCAGACCAGGAACCAGTCAGACCAGGAACCAGTCAGACCAGGAGCAAGTCAGACTAGAAACCAGTCAGACCAGGAGCAAGTCAGACCAGGAACCAGTCAGACCAGGAACCACTTAGACCAGGAGCATATCAGACCAGGAACCAGTCAGACCAGGAACCAGTCAGACCAGGAACCAGTCAGACCAGGAGCAAGTCAGTCTAGAAACCAGTCAGACCAGGAGCCAGTCAGACCAGGAGCCAGTCACACTAGGAACGTTAAGACTAGGGACCAGTCAGACCAGGAACCAGTCAGACCAGGAGCCAGTCACACTAGGAACGTTAAGACTAGGGACCAGTCAGACCAGGAACCGGTCACACTAGGAACGTTAAGACTAGGGACCAGTCAGACCAGGAACCAGTCGGACCAGGAACCAGTCAGACCAGGAACCGGTCACACTAGGAACGTTAAGACTAGGGACCAGTCAGACCAGGAACCAGTCAGACCAGGAACCAGTCGGACCAGGAGCAGGGGGATGGGCTCTTATCTAAAAGTGATTAGGGGACGATGTGTTTTAAAATGGTGTCGTCCTTTCAGTCTGTGAAGTCTGTGAAGTCTGTGAAGGAGACCTGCTCCTCCTGCTGCTGTTTTACTTTATTTTATATTATCATTTCTTCACTTTAGTATTTTCAGTTTTATCTTTAATCTTAAATAATAAATCCTGTGTTATGTGCGCACTCTGAGTCCCTTATTTCCTCCTTTTTATATTCTGCCTAATGTGCCTCCTCACTGTAGGACGAATAAGGATTATCTTATCTCATCTGAAGTCTCTAATGTTTATTTATATAGTGCACTTTACAGACCAAGGTCGCCCAAAGAGCTCAACACTTGTTCTGATATTGTTCCATTCTCTCCACAGCACCATCCACTCACTACATTCAGACCTGTGTGCAGACCGGAGCACCTGGAGGAAACCTACGCAGACACTGGGAGAACAAGCAAACTCCACACAGAAAAACCTGGAGGTGGAATTGAACCCAAGACCTTCTCATTGTGAGACACTGTGGCCCCAACATACAGTATCTCTGTGAAATGTGTACTTTATATCTCAAGGTTCAATAATTACTACTACTAATACTATTACTGCTACTACTACTGCTACTGCTACTACTGTTGCTACTACTACTGCTGCTACAGCTGCTACTGCTACTACTGCTACTACTACTACTGCTACTGCTGCTACTGCTACAGCTGCTACTGCTACTACTACTACTGCTACTGCTGCTACTGCTACAGCTGCTACTGCTACTACTACTACTACTGCTACTGCTACAACTGCTACTGCTACTACTGCTACTACTGCTACTGCTACTACTACTACTACTACTGCTACTGCTACGACTGCTACTGCTACTACTGCTACTGCTACTGCTACTGCTACGACTTCTACTGCTGCTACTGCTACTACTACTACTGCTACTGCTACTGCTACTACTGCTACTACTACTACTGCTACTGCTACTACTACTACTACTACTGCTACTGCTACTACTACTACTACTACTACTACTGCTACGACTGCTACTGCTACTACTGCTACTACTGCTACTGCTACTACTGCTACTACTGCTACTACTACTACTGCTACTGCTACTACTACTACTGCTACTGCTACTACTGCTACTACTACTACTGCTACTACTACTACTGCTACTGCTACTACTACTACTGCTACTGCTACTACTGCTACTACTGCTACTGCTACTACTGCTACTACTGCTACTGCTACTACTGCTACTACTGCTACTGCTACTACTGCTACTACTACTGCTACTGCTACGACTTCTACTACTACTACTGCGACTTCTACTGCTACTACTGCTACTCCTACTACTAAGTATCATTTACAAATCAAATCCATGTCCGCTAACTGCTCCTTCTGCTCCTCCTCCTTCAGATCCTTCTGCTCCACCTCCTTCAGATCCTTCTGCTCCACCTCCTTCAGATCCTTCTGCTCCTCCTCCTCCTCCTGCTCCGTCGGCTCCTTCAGCTCCTCCTCCTTCAGATCCTTCTGCTCCACCTCCTCCTTCTGCTCCTTTAGCTCTACACTAAAACAAAGTCTAATCTGTTAACTGTGATCGTGACTGATAAAGTCTGAGCTCCGAGTCGAGGCCACTTTGGGATCGTCCTGAACTCCGGGTCTCTCTCTCTCTGTCATTTACAAACGTTTACAAAAATGATAACGGATGAAGCTGGATGCTGGTGATTGGCAAAGATTTAATTAAAAGTGTTGGCTCGAAATGTGTGTTTGTGGATTTGACGGTCTCACAGCAGTTTTACAGTATTGAAGCAGACGTAGAAGTCTTGGGTCTACAGCCTCAGTCCTGGGTCTACAGCCTCAGTCCTGGGTCTACAGCCTCAATCCTGGGTCTACAGCCTCAATCCTGGGTCTGCAGCCTCAGTCCTGGGTCTGCAGCCTCAGTCCTGGATCTACAGCCTCAGTCCTGGGTCTACAGCCTCAGTCCTGGATCTACAGCCTCAGTCCTGGGTCTGCAGCCTCAGTCCTGGATCTACAGCCTCAGTCCTGGGTCTACAGCCTCAGTCCTGGATCTACAGCCTCAGTCCTGGGTCTGCAGCCTCAGTCCTGGATCTACAGCCTCAGTCCTGGATCTACAGCCTCAGTCCTGGATCTACAGCCTCAGTCCTGGGTCTACAGCCTCAGTCCTGGATCTACAGCCTCAGTCCTGGGTCTGCAGCCTCAGTCCTGGATCTACAGCCTCAGTCCTGGATCTACAGCCTCAGTCCTGGGTCTGCAGCCTCAGTCCTGGATCTACAGCCTCAGTCCTGGGTCTACAGCCTCAGTCCTGGGTCTACAGCCTCAGTCCTGGGTCTACAGCCTCAGTCCTGGGTCTACAGCCTCAGTCCTGGGTCTACAGCCTCAGTCCTGGATCTACAGCCTCAGTCCTGATCCATAAAAACAACAAATATTTTGGCTCTTTCCAAGTTGTGAAAATTAGTGGTCTATATTTCTCACAATAATAATCTCCCTAATAAATAATCTCCCCTCGCAGAAGGAATGACATAATCCCTGTGATGTCACAAACAGAAGCTATTAAAGCAATATTATGTGACATCACAGACGAGAGAGCGCAGCAGCGATGGACCTGTCCAATGGGATCTCTCTCACACCGAGGACTCACCACTGACCCACATGGTTCAGACAAGAGAGCAGCAGCAGCACTACTGTCACTTACTGTTAGGTCTGCGGAGAGGAGAGAGAGAGAGAGAGTGGGAGGAGAGAGAGAGAGGAGAGAGGGGGTGAGGGAGAGAGGAGAGAGAGGGGGAGAGAGAGAAGGTGGGAGGAGAGAGATAGAGGGAGAGGGGGAAGAGAGAGAGAGGAGAGAGAGAGGGGGAGAGATGGAGGGGGGGAGAGAGTGGGAGGAGGGGGAGAGGAGAGAGAGGGGGGCGAGGGAGAGAGAGGGGGGAGAGAGAGAGTGAGAGATAAAGGGAGAGAGAGAGGGGGGAAGAGAGAGAGTGGGAGGAGAGAGAAGGTGGGAGGAGAGAGAGAGAGAGGGAGGAGAGAGAGAGCGAGTGGGAGGAGAAAGAGAGAGAGAGACCAGAGAGAGAAATAGGCCAAAGAGAGAGAAAGAGAGAGAGAGTGAGGGGGAGAAAGAAACAGTGGGAGAGGAGACACCAGAGAGAGAGAGATAGGGAGGAGATAGAGGGAGAGAGAAGAGTGAGAGGAGAGAAGAAAAACCAAAGAGAGAGAGGGAGGAAAGACCAGAGCGAGAAAGACCAGCGAGAGGAGAGAGAGAGACCACAGAGAGAGAGGAGAGACATGGAGGAGCAGCGCCTCTACTCTGAGCTCCTCCTGTGTGACTGAGCTTCTCTCACTATCTCCATACGAACACATTTCTACAACAAGGAGCTGCGTGAACAAATTCAGACCCAATACTCACAAGTTTTCAAAACCAGAAAACTGAAACGTGACATCACTTTGAAAGAATCTATTGAACTGGAAAGAAAAATCCAGTCTCGAGTTTGTGAAACCAGCGTGTACGCGGTGGAGCCATCGCAAAGTCAGATGTCCGAGAAAAAAGACACATTGAAATCAATCTGGTTTTGGACTGAGAGCTTTGCATTAGAACTACGTTACCCAGAATGCTTTGTAGTCCTGCCCAATCGCACAAGCAGCTTTCTGATTGGTTGGATTCAGAATGGATTTTAGTTTGGCTGATTGTTAAATTGATTAATAACAAATTTTACTTTCAAAGTGAGTAGTTCTTTGGCAAAAACAGAAAACAGACATTACACACATTTCAGAAAGACTTTTGCCTTTAACCAAGTCGTTTTTGTGAAAAGCCAGATGTACTGTACTGCCACACAATAAAAGTTTCACC